ACGGCATAAGCTCACTTGGCACTTCGTGCCAGGTGAGCTAAAAATGGATCATACTTTTCAGTGCATTATTACATTACATCAACTCAGAATATATATATATTGTCAAAGCAAAATGCCAGTGTTCCCCCATAGATCTAGGATTTAGAGGATCTTTTATAGATTTTCAAGATTCTGTAGCCGTAACACTTAGTTCTATGGCCATCATGGGACTATCGTTGAAAAGTTGGCGCACACTGAAATGCTGAAGTTTTATTTATGAAGTACACAAGTACATCCATTTATAAACAATATATATACAGTGGCCAGACTTTCCAAGCCCTCTTAAAACCAGCTGTAAGGTCCACTAATATATATATATATAAATGTCAGCATGAATGATATTGAGTGGCACAGGATTGATGATCAGTATATATACCAAAGCCATGAACTCTTAACCCAAACCAATGTTCCTAGTCGATGAGGAAATAACTTCTTAGGTAGAACATCCACAACAAATATATAACATTTCCTTATATTTTTTCCCCATTCATGTCAGCAGTTTTTTCTTCTAGTAGGCCAATATTTAACACAGAGTCCTGTTTAAGACCATAAATAAAACCCACAGTACACAAACGTGATTTTATCATGCTAAAGCCATCCTGACTTTTGACTTTGTAGAACAAGACCTATACAAAATGAAACTTATCAGCTAGCCTCAAACAGAAGAATCTTATAAATGTATGGCAGTTTGTTTTCCTTGCATGTTCATGGGGAAACATTATTCAAATTACAAACCTGTGTAGGTTCAACGCTTCAACATGGCAGTCACCTCTACACGGTGTTACAAACTTTAGAAAAAAATGTTTTTATCGCAATGTTAGTCAAACCTTATTGGACTTCTTCCACTACAAATGTACATTTGTCTGCTAAATTTATCCCATTGACACACTCGAAGTAAAGGAATACTGATTTTTTTTTTGAAACAATTTACCTGTAGTAAAGTATTGTAGGGGATTGGTAACAACACTGCCTCTAGATCAGTTAAAGAGACATATATGTCTTTACAATTTGCACCCATAGATCTATGCAATACCTTATCAACAAAACTGTCAGCACTGCAATAAGTTTATTGACCACCCTTTTTGTTTGTTCACCACACAATATAAATGGGGGAATATATTGTAGGCACTAGGGGGACTCAAAGTGTATCTGAGATGTCTCATTATACAAAATGTATTCCTACATGATATAAACAGTATTTTTACAAACAGCCTGTTCCTTTATGAATAAGGAAAACATAGCATTATTTGTATTGAAATTGGGAATATATTTCTCAGTTTTTGGTCATTTTGGGAAAATAAGGCACATTTCAGCTAGGGGAAATGGCCTGTATTCGGCAGTGAAACTTTATAAAAAAAAATACTGATAAATAGTATTGCTTGCTTGAGAATTTTTGGAACAGTGGTAATAAAGACTAAGTTTGTTTTTAACACAATATAAGTGAATTTAATGTAACTGAATATAAGAAACAGCGGAATCTCTGAAGACAACAGAATTAACATGTTGATGTTATCCTCTTCCTTACCTTGTAACATGCTGCGGTATGCTGCGTCTGTGATGGCGAAAACATGGGGTGGAACTTCATGTCGCTTTTTGCCCTTGTACAAATCGATGACTTTTTCTGTGTAGATTGGTAGTCTTTTGTATGGGTTCACCACCACACAAAACAGACCAGAGTATGTCTGAAATTGAAATGAACAGGCCAATATTTACTGTCTATTCCTGTAGGTTATAACCCAAATTTTATGAATTAGTAAACTTTATAAAATCTTCTTATCATACATTTACTTACATTTATGCTATGAGAACACTTCTTTACCAACCAGTTAACTTTTAACACCGGGCATGCTTATTTGAATATATACGGTAGGTAATTAATTGTTAAGGGAATTTCCATATTATAGAATATAAAGACGTTTTTAAAAAGATGAAATATGTTTTAACCTCAAACTAAAATCCAAATATCTCCAATTTGTCGTATTTGGTGATACATATGACTTTTTTTTTTACATCTAAATTCAATTAAACATTAAATTTTAACACAAAATTGAAACTTATCTTCATCTGAAACTACTTATAGCACAAAATATACATTTGAAGTAGGTTTATTTGACTACACATATATATCTATCTTGTCAAGATGGTACAGTGTATTACCAATAAAGATTGGTAAACCCCTGGTGGTATGATTGTAAGAGAAATATCAAATGATGAAACTGATAAATGTTTACTCATCGTTATGCAGCATTTCATGCCAATTGTTCAACTGATGCATGACGTATAAAGTAAAAATAAATTTTATATAAATTTGTAAGATTTAAATGTTCACTGTAAAAACAAAATCCAAATTAATACTTGCAATCTAACTCTTCACATAAAAAAAGGTAGTATACCTTCTTGTTACACTAGATTTCTACTGTATATATACTGTATGTGTGTAGCTTTTGTTATCTTACTCTTCAAGTTGTGTAATTAGTAGGGGAAATTAAAAAGAATAATGCAAATTTGGGCAGATTGCCAACCAAGCTTGCATTATAAACTGAATGGTCTATAAATGGGTCATTCTTCCCTTGCTGTAGCCAGTGCACGTTTTTAAGTATTAAGCTGGAGGGGTGATGTACTTCCTGTTGTGTCTGTTAGTTTTACTCATGTTCCATGCATCAATCACTCTTTTGTGAAGCATGAATAATCTAACTTTGTGGCCCAGTTATCCATTTACTAGTTAATCATTATAAATTACAGACTGGGTACGTGTAGAGCTCTAGGAAGTATTTCTCTAACAAACTGCTGTGTACTGAATGTTTAAAAGATAAAATCAAACAATTATCCTTTTGAATGGCTCATTTTATAACACTTCAAACTTGAGTGCATTCCTTTGTAATTTTGTTAATGCAACCACTGGAAAAAAAGTTGCTTTTCATAATCGGGGAAATAATTGTGGACATGCTAATTAAGTCCTGAATGAAAAAGTTATTTCTGTATCTAGTCTCATAAGGAGGAAGAACAAACCACAGACCGTTGAAAAGTCTCATTATTGGCATTGCACTCGAGGTACAAAAACATTTATTTAACAAAACTGTTTCCTCTGCCTTATTGGTCCTCAAATAATATGTAGATGAGAGCTGTTTCCTTAATCTTATAAGAAAAGTAGTATTACTAAGAAATGACTACAGGATGTATCTCTTACATCTGGTTTATACCACTGGAGGACAGCCAGTGTGTAATTAAAGGGGGTAAACACTGGTGCCCACATTTGTGTTTGCCAACATCAAATAATGGTGAGCCATTTAGTCCCTGCCCAGATAACTCCTACAGGTGATATAACAACACAGCTATCTTTAAGTGTATCTGTATACCATCAACATGTTACTACCCCTGGTTCCAGATAACACCCTCTCCACCTGGACATCTTTATGACAGGTATGCTGACTAAGTCAACTAAAACTCTTGCCTTAGTAAAATAGTAGTTCACTTTTCTATCGGCACATAACACTAAGACTTACAAACTTCTTAAACAATGTGTGAACTTCAAAGTAAAAAGTCTTGAAAGTGCAACATTTCGTAAGGGGTCTTCAGAAATCGGTGTTTTTACAGAAAAGAATTTTGAATAATCCATTCGCTTAAGAGATTGACGAAAATGGGCAATGTGGGATATTTAAAAGAAACTGGTATCAACTAGAAATGTATTAGTTTTAGGCAACAGGCCAAGTAATTAATGAATACCTTTAGCACTTGCTTATGACCAAGTTTTGGAAGAAACAAATTACCAGGCACAAAGACAAATTACATAATTAACAACTGCCATGCATACTGATCAAGTGACATAACTACGAGAAAAAAGTTAGAAAAAAAATCAGTCTGGTCACCAGTTGGGGCAGGGTGGGGTATATTGTACATGTAAATTTCTTCACCTGTCCATGGCCATCTGATCACCTGTCCACCTGTCAGACGAATATACATACTAGCTGTCCTAATTTTAGAAGCACTCAACCACGACAACCTATAGACCTCCAGCACTGTGACCTATATACAATTATCGCAGCCAATACACTATAAAAACAGCTCATAAGGAAGTTTTATACCATCTTTAAGGGGTTAAATTTATGTATACCAAAATTAGAAACACTTTTGATTAGTGGATTCTAATCGGCAGGATTTCCTGGTACAATTAAGGTTTTATTGCACAAATTGTACAGCTGTTAGTTTTATACAACTTTTTATTGAAGGTTCAATTCTATATACCTTTATAGTGCACTAAAACTACCAAGATACAAGTTAACAACAGCTTTGACAAGGGTTTATCCGACAAAATGTCAACATCAAATGCAGGACCAGGAACGGACATTCCAAAATAACTTGGTAGTCCCTTCTACTCTAAGTTATATGACATAGCCATTGCCAAATTTCCAGCAGTTGGAATGAAAAGTTTGTCATAAACTAGAGCCTGAGCTCAATTAGTATCAGGAAATACTATATAACCCATTTCCTGGTAAGGAATCATTTACAATAGGGGGTGTAAATTGTATTTGGTTAATCTCTGTTATTACACGTAATGACATTGTCGGGTTACAATGGGTGACTTCATGACCAAATTTGAAAATGAAAGGAAATGGATCAGATAACTAAAGCAGGGTGTCATTTAATTTGAAGCCAAATACCGTAATGTACCTCTGTACACCCTTATAAAATCAATGTCTTATCAGCATCTAACAGATGACTCATGACCTCTCCCGTCACCTAGGTAATTGTCAGGGCAGATTACAACTAGGAACTACAATAAGTGCAATAAAGGTTTACATTGCAGGGTTTTATATTTTTTTGTAATACAAAAAAATGTAGTAGGGAAAACCCCATAGATAGTACATTAGAGGGGTTCATCCTCCCCTAAAAAAAATCAATTCATTTCGCCATGAATGCAAAGCTAGCATCTTTAGAAAAAACATGAGTACAATGTCAAGTCTGACAATAGCTATCATTGTCATTAATGCTTGTTATATCCGATTTATCATTTATAACACTGTAAAAACCATCCACTCAGTTCAATGTTTACACACTAGTAGATCAATCTGTGTGGGTTTCCACCATGAATAATTTCTAGATGACACTTTTTCACAATATTTGTGGGAAACATTTATAATAAATGAATAAGCTGTCACTGCATCACAAGTGCATGCATTACATTTTGTAACATAGCGTATAGATGAAACTATTAAGATTATTTTGTTCACATCATATATTCCAACACGATTTATAAAATACTGATTTTGTCTAAGACAGTTCTACTGATAACAGAATTCATTAGGGATTGCCACATTGTGATTCATGCCCCGGTGTTAACTTGGTGCATCATAGTGCGACTGTGTCAATAAAGAATGCACTTTTTTGGGGTGTGCTCTTTTTCGGCTTCGAAATACATTGATACTTACGTAAATTAGACCTGAATAGTATCGATCTTTCAAATTATGAAGGACTGATGCTTCGTTGAGACATGTCAATTCGGCCATATCCTCAACTTTGGAAAACTTAGGGGGGTTCATTTTCTGACAGTCATCCCGGTGAACCTTCACATGTTTTCCACTATCGTCAAGTTCGACTTCTAATTCATCCCCCTTTTCCGAAACGACACTGGCAGCACAAAAGCCATGGACTTCGTGAGGAACCCAAATTAATCTTTTTGCTGCCCATTCTGCTTGTACCATAGGATCATTTATACGATTCCTATCAACTGCAAGATACTTGAGCTCCTGAGCGCTCACACCAGCGTACGGATCGTCCGCCATTTTGAAATTTTGCAAATGATCCACACGACTTCAGAAAGTGTGGAAACTGATTACTCTGCTGTCTCCCGTGTATCAAACGTTAAAATAAATCCCTACAAAACAATGAAATTCAAGAATGATAATGTCACGATGGCACAATCGTCTAAAGTTGCAAAATGACCATTCAATGTTCAAACCATGTCTACCGGGCCGCCGCCCGCCTCTATATTCACACAGGAAATTCAATGAATGTCACGTGATTTGAGCAGAGGCTAGGTACGATGCGGGGGATCATCTCAAAAGTTATTCTAATATTCACACACACATTTTCCTCTTTATTAGGACCTCATGTATTTGGTATGATTTTATGTAGAATTAAAATCCAATTCATATAAAAATATTATTTAATACATAACAAATATAAATATAAAGAAACAGTGCATTCTACCTTACATATGAAATATTGTTTTAGTAACAACCCCAGTCTGGAATCCCATCTGTCGGATATGACACTTCAATACACAAATACCTTTACGAATGTGTCCAGTCCCAAACCGGATTCCCCTATCTCATGTTTGTCAAGTAAGTTATGTACCAGTGGGTCGTAAGCATACCAGTCTGTCGGTGAGATCAGTACAGTGACGTCACCTCACCAAAAAATGATCTCATACGGAAGGTGCAGGCGTGCTTCCTGTTTACAAGGACACTCGCGACATCAGTAATTTACCAAATAAGGCAAAACGTATTAAATAAATATAAAGAAAAATTAAGGACACATTACGTAACAAGATAAAGCAAATAGCACTTAGACATTCCTGTGGATTGTCAATGTTTAATTAATATATTAAAAATAGAATTCGTTAGTGATGCATATCGCCAAACGGATTAGTATAGTTTCTTATAAGAGGGATATATATATATCACTGTTAGCCTATACGACGAAACAAATATGTCAATGTCTTGCCGTAAACTTTCAAAGGAAGTATGTTCACTATATCTCTCAATCGGAAGACTAGATATATACCAGGCAGATATCTGTGATGATTTGGAAAAAAAAGAAAGAAAAAAGATAAGTTTCAGTACCGTTATTTCATAGTAGAATCATTTGATAAAATAGTAATAGAATCAGAGATTCCCTGATTTAGGCTTCTGATAATTACACATGAATAACGATTGCATATGTTCAACAAACATATGACTTATGTTAATTTAATAATAATTTAACCATCATATGTATTGTCGTTAGTGAAGTGGTGAATACATGTTTAAAGCTGTTGCAACTTCCTAACTCCACAGCATACATATTTATATATGTACAGTACATACATTTGTACGCATCAACAGACACGGTGGTAATGTTATTGAGGCCAATAAATAACAAAACACATTGACGTACTATTTAAGTTTTTCACGAAGTTACGTCATTTTCCCGTTATATTGTATGTACAATCAAAATTTCACAATTTTGGGGAACAGATATTGGGACGATTTAACCAGAATTTGATCACAATCAAAAGAAAAAAATGCCGTTGAAACACACTGCAAGTGCGGATAGGGACTTGACTAAAATACTTCTCACTGTACTGGGCCGACGAAACAAGAAATGATCGGACAATATAATATGTATGCGCTATGCGCTATATGACATCAGTTAATGCTATACGTACGCTACCAATATATTACCAGCTGCTGTTGTCGAGTTTCCCGAATATCCATGTTCCGTCACGCACCTGTTTTATGAAAGAAAGAAACCCACCCTGACCATGGCCAGTTGACCATTTGGACCAGAGTTCTTCGTTCATGAAATTGAGACGGGGGTAGTGATCCGATGTTGTTTTCTGGACAGCTTTGTCAAATACTTTGCAGACCTGCTTTACCATCCTTTAGGGTTTGTCCACGAAAAGTTTTCATTTACAAAAAGTCAAATCAGAAAGGCCATGCAAAACAAACAGCCAAAAGGAAGAGAAGCAAGTGTGGTGGTTATCTATGGGAGATAACTCTAACTAAACATATATATTTTTTTTAGAAAAGGTAGCATATTCCCTTAATTGACAGTGTATTGACAGGTGCACATTGTTGGAACTTTAAAAAAACTATCTATGTATACAGTTACTTGTAAATAATATATTTATATCATTCGGGGATTTTATACCAAACTGTGCGGTATGCAGTGTAAATAAACGAGAACCGACGTGGATATTATATGAAGTAACCGAACAAAATCCAGGTCATTAACAGTGCTTTCTAAGATCAGATCGACCTGTATGACTTTTCCAATCTGATTTAGATCATATCCTAAACCCCAATGAGGTCAGCGCTCCCAAATCGGTGCAGGATAGGATTTTAATCAGATTGATACTTTGTTAAAATCCCCATATTTATGTGAAATTTACTTCTTTGAGCGCAAGTCAGCTGTGTAGACCAAGTTACAATCACTAACTTAACAATTTCCAGCTACAATAGCAAAAACTGGCGTGGTTTTGTCATCCATGAATCGTGAACGGCCACGTTTGATCACCTACCGTTATATATGCATGTATTTGGCGAAAATAGGTGATAGATGATATCATTTTAACTGAAATTTAGTTTTAAAGAAGGAATACATGTTTATTAAGTGGATTTTTTTATTAAGTGATATTGACAATGCAATTAACAACCAGGATTTCTTTTCCTCTTTAACTCAATTTTGCGATAGTTTGTGTTGTACGTCCTATTAACAGCTATTGTCACGTGCCAGGTTTTGGCGGTGGAGGAAAGCTTGAGTACCCAGAGAAAAACGACCGACCTGCGGCCAGTACTACTTATATTTCTAAAATTTCTTTGAGCTATCCTCATCAGTTCGTTTTTGATAAAGCTGGCCACGAGACCCTGTTATCACTATAAGACCATTCATCAAACCAATTATCCCTATAAGACGATCAATCGTTCTGGCGGTGGAGGAAAGCTTGAGTACCCAGAGAAAAACGACCGACCTGCGACCAGTACCTGGCGACTGCCTCACGTAGACCCCGAACCGATAGTACAATACAATACGATACGATACGATACAATACAACACAACACAGCACAATACAATACACAATACAATACAATACAATACATGGTTATGATTGATGCTTCAAATAAAAAAATCCATCAAGCGACACTTTCAAATTTAAATTCCATCAAACTGTCATTCGTACGTGTTTGTAAACATGTCTCTGGACAAAATCGCAAGACAGGTGGATGCTCATGAAACCAGGGAAGTTCCTCAAACAAGTATCAACGATATGTATGAACAAAAGAAAAGACAAAAGAAATGGTTGAAGATTGTATGTAATTACATATATATCTTAAGATAAATCTTCCCATTGGTTGATAATTCGCTGACAATACATGTATTTTTTTCAAAACTATCTATATTGTAGACTCAAATATGGTCTAGAACACATATGCAGAGATCAGTAAGTAAAACAATTCTCTTTACCTTGAGTGGCCTGCAAAAATAAAGAACAGCTCCTAAGGACAGATGACCAGAGATGTAGTGTTTTTTTTGTGTGCATAATCTATGGTTTTCTCTTGGGCGTCACGTTGGAATAAATAACGTTGTCTTGGTATCTCCCTCATTCTGCTGATGTAATTTCTTAACCAGTCTCGGACATATCATCATACTTTATTTTAGTCTTCATTTGTCTAAATTTCAAACAACTTTCTAACTGTTAGAATAACTTCGAATTTCCCTGTGTCAATGTGACTGCGATCAATAAATAGGTTGTGCCAATTGAAATAACGATGTTAAATTTTACAAACTACGATAGCCAAAATGATATTGAACTTTCTAGTTGCATCGAAAACAGCATTTCCCTAGCATGCACTAATAATGTCAGTGCGAAGGTCAAATCCACTTAGCTTATTCCTTTTACACTGTTGTTCCATAGAAACGTGCACAAATCTATTCAGTATAATATTCATAGAGAAGACAATGAAAAACTTTACCTTGAGTGTGGCAAACTGTTTACATGTTTGTTTGTGTGCAAGTACTATTCTGTTCTTGTTTTATTGCCAAGCCTCCACCAGGACAATATTTGGTACAAAGGCAAGAAAATCAGTAAAACTGATGACTGGAATAAAGTGTGCAGGCGCAAGAATGCATATTAAAACAATGCGACCTTTGAACTTTATGAGACCTTGACCTTGGACATACGAACCCCAAACTGGTGCGCGACACAGCCTTGCCATCCTACATGAATCTATAAATTTTATAGAGCTATCATCGGCAGTAGAAGTAATGGGATAATGAATTTGACAATTGACCTCCATGTGATCTTGACCTTTGACTATGAACCCAATCCTTGTAAGCGACACCCTTGCGATCCTACTTATATTTCTAAAATTTCTTTGAGCTATCCTCACCAGTTCGTTTTTGATAAAGCTGGCCACGAGACCCTGCTATCACTATAAGACCATTCATCAAACCAATTATCCCTATAAGACAATCAATCATTTCAATACAAAATTGTGTGCAAAATCTAGCAGTTGTCTGTACAGGATATCATGCATATATATTGTGCATGGGGAACAAAGGGCCATAACTCTGCATACAGCGGGACACAAGAGCCGATTTCAGTATGGGACACTCGGCCATCCCAGGAAGTACACCTATACAAGATGTGCCAATTCACGAGGACAGAGTGTGCCAGATCTGATCTGAACAACGAGACGATTCATTTTGTAGTCCCTTTTGATGGTGGTTGAGAGGTACAAAAGCCAGATACTAGCTGGTGTTATGGATCTGTCTGGTTTACTCTGGGGTAAGACCTTGGAACGATTTCAAAATGCCAGTGTATACATAACACCACAAATATATACAAAACAAAATATGTGTAATGAAATAATTTTATTTCTCTTTTTATTTTCATAAAAAAAGGAAAACTGTACAAAGTTTATAAGACGTCCGTCTTAAAATGACACAAATCACTTATAATCATGACCACTCATACACCTCCAGTACTTTCACCATATAATGGAAATATTGTCTGATGTTGCGTAAAGCTCGTAGCCATGAAAAATCTATTTCTTAGAGAATCAGAAAAATATAGCTGACATGCACATTCTCCAATCTACAGCATTGTATACATGTATAAGTACATTTATTTATAGGCTTAAAAGCAGGATAAATAGAACACAGACAGTTCTTAAGCCCCGCTGACCACATAGGGCTGATACAGGCTTCAATTTCTCGACTCTCAAAAGGGAAAATTAAATAAAAATTGTCTCAAAATCTGTTTTATCATTACAGCTTTGGTGTGAACTTTAAATTCCCTGAAAGATTCCACTTAGATTCATTTTGAATGATCTAAATAAATTTTGTAATTATTAGTTCGTCCATATGGAATGAATATGGTTAAGAATATGATAATTGAAGACCTGCTAAAAAAATGATACAATACATTTGTTCTACTACAAGTTCTTGTGCGAAAGCTTCACACTTTTCCTGTTTGAATGTTGTGCCCTATCAGTTTGTTTCTGCTCCAGGGAGTAGTATGTTTCGACCAACTTACAAGGATGATATAGAACCGAGTATGCTACTGTATGATGATCACTTTGATGGGGGAACAATAGTTAATGATTACACAATGAAACTACAACTGTCATCAACACATAATTTTAACTTCCTTATAATCTGTTATTTTGTAATGAGCCTATTTATTGCTGAAATACAAAAAATGGTAAGGAGTTACCTCCCTTCTATCAAATTTGTAAAATAAGGATCTGCTTTAATAGTCATGAAACCAAATTGTAATTCAATTGGTCTGCTTACAGTTGGGACATCAAGGAACAGTGGAAATTGCCCTTTAGCAATAATACTTATCAGAACTCTTAGCTAGACAACCTTTATTTTCCTGCATTCTGAAATAAATTAAAGATTGGTTGTTTTTTTATTATATATGTATAGATTTTTCAGAAAAAAACATTTGCTTAAATGTAATTAACTAATAGATATTTTAGTGCCAAAACATAAATTAGCAGTTTTCAAAAACTTCATTAATTGAGAAATTCTCAACAACATTAATTGCTGAACACTTTTCTTATGGCAGGATATCTACTGCACATACAAACCAGCATTTTAAAGGAAAATCAAATAAAAAAAAACAAACTCCAGGTTCATAAAAAAAAATTCAAATGATGTTACAAACATTTTATGATTCTGGTCCACTTTTTGTAATCTCATCAATGGAAATTTCAATTTGTGACTGAATAGTAAAATGTAACAATGATTTAGATTCAGCATTACTGAATGAAGGTAAATAATTGAAAACAAACCTTTTTCTGATCATACAGAGCACAAAATATTTTTGATCATAAATAATGGAGAATATTGTCTAACAATTTAAATAATGCAGATAATTATATTGTGAACAATCCATAAAACCCATTTCTGGACAAAAATGGACAAAGGGCCATACCTCTGTGGAGAGTGGAGCACAAGACCCTATTTCAGTGCAGTATTTAAATATTTGGCATTATATGCGACATTGCATGAACAATGCCCCAGACAAGGTAATGCATGGTAAATAAAGGGCGATAACTCTGCATAAAATTGGGCACAAGATTGTGGTATGCAACACTCTGCTATGCAATGAGTTACTCAATAAACAAAATTTGGCAATTGTCTGTAAAAAAGACCATTCGACACACTAACAGATTGACTGGCAGAGTGTAAAATTCTAGGCCTCTCTAGTAGTGGTAAGGGATTAATAAGGGCTCCAACAACCATTTTTTTTTACTGTAGATTCGTAGTGTAGGCTTAATAATATGGTTAAGACTTAAGTTTCTAAAATAGACCACTTCTTTATCTTGTATAATTGAAGATTAATATGTCAATGCAGTAAGAAACTTTGGGTATATTGGAGATTCGTTAAATAGAAAAAAAAGCAACAACAATTTGACAGTCACTTAAGGAGAAATAAAAGTGAAGGAAAATACATATGGTTGAAGTAAATGCTGTAATAGCAAATAATTAGAAGTTTCATCTAACCTAATTAAAATGGAAAATAATAAACTTGCACTTCAATACAAACAAAATTTCAGGAAAATCTTTCTTCACCAAATATAGGAGCTTGACCATACATAGTTTTTAAAATGACAAATCTATTTCCTTACTTTGACCGTAACTGTGAACACACTAGATTTAACAATACGAGTTGGTTTCCCAAATACAAAAATACTTTTTTCACAACAATGGTTACAACATTGTAATAGATGTATTGAACCTTGTTAATCTGGACACCAGAGTTTTCCTCTTTTGTTAACTTGCTCTTAAACTGATTTACTATTTTTTCTGATTAAACTTCCAAAAAATAATATCAAGTGCATTCTTTAAAGGAAAATGTCCACACAAACAAGGTTCTATTGTAGTAACACAAGTGTAATACTTAATCAAATCAGCTCATCCTTAGCTGGATGTAAATTTACAATCTGAATGAAACGCATAGATCAAGCGATCTAAAGCGATCGAACGTACTTAAAATATTGCCGACATGACTTATCAGTAGGTTTCCACCCCCAACACATGGCCTGCTCTATCTTCACTCACACAGCATCTGAAAGATCAACCAGCTAGGAATGCGCTTTGCATAACAAAGACTAAATGTTACATTGGAGGGGTACTAGAATTGAGCAGGTGTATCATAATTCCTTTTTCCAGTAGCCTTGTTTCTGCAATGCATTTAAGTGAAAGTTTTTATAAATTGTTTTAAGTGATAGACTTTTCTCATTACATGTATTACTATAAAATCCATAAAAATCTTTCAATGTATCAGGAATGCATCTAAGATTTCTTAAAACTTGTAAAGAAAGGCGGAAATGTTGTTTTAAAGTGCAAGATGATACCAGACTTTGTACATATAATCTTGATCTTAAACAATCACGCAGGCTTTGTATTTCATTCAGATTGGTACTACTAGTATCATATATCTTTTCACATAGAGAAACAACTACTATGGTACTCACAAATGGGAACGAACAGTTAACACCACATTTGACTAGAGTCTTAAAAATATAACAGTTATTAATCATTCTCTTCCTCGGTTATAGATTTCAATATAAAAGATACTAAACAGATCCAACAAAGGGACATTACCCTATCTTAGTCAAGGGACATAACTCATATCGTCTACATTCTTATGGCCTTAAACTTCTCAATCTTGCATTCATGAAAAGCTTCCAGCTTGTTAATATGTAAACATGATAAATGTATCTTGATTATGTATTTTCTGACTCCTCCATACTTCTGTAGATTCTGTCTGGTGTTTCTATTCAATATCTTGGCCATTGTTTCTGAAGAAAGTACCTTTGTAACTTATTTTAATGTCTAGTTTCTGATATTAAATCCCCGCAAAAAGTCTTTGACAATGTGCAAGATTTAAGTCTCATTTATAATGCAGTATTCATATAGGTAGCAGGTTCAACATATTTTGTAGCTTGTTTACAAAAAAGATTTGAATTTGAGACCTGCAGAAAAAAGTTTTAGACCCTGTAAAATATGTCTTAGTGTAGTTTTTACAAATTGCTTATCAACACTGTCTTTTAGACTTTGGCGTCAAGAAAATTTCCTGACATTATTTCCCCGACAAAAGGTGATGACCATGTGAAATATTAAAGTCTAATGGTCAGTAAATTTTTCATATTTCAGGTTGATTGTAATTTAGAAGTAGATTTTCATGAAAAATTACAAAAATTCTCTGATAATGTGAAAGATAAAAAGTCTTGTACTTCATGTTTAACAAGTATCCTTAAAGCGATGTCACAGTTCGTGTTTAATCCTTCTGGCTATCTCGAGATTTTGACCCAGTTGAACCATTTCTTTACAAAGCTTTTGTCACTGTCCTTTTTCTTAAACAAAGCAAAACAGCTAGATTTAGATATTGCTTTCTAAGGCTACTGTCTCTGCTGGGTGGTCAGTAGTCTTGACCAGGTTCTGGTCAGTCCTTGCATCACTTCTCTTGCCCCCTTGTGGCCGGACATTACCCAATGTGGCTCTTGGGGCTGAAGTCCATCGGCAAGTGTTTGGGATTCATACTGACGACTAATGAGTCTGGAAAAGAAACAAAACAACTTGTAATCATTTTCTGATCTTTAAACTCTGGAAGACGTTAACCCATATATGCTCCACCGCAATACCGACGCAAAGACTACACAATTTAGATAGATTTCCTATATGATAAATGGGGTTTCCCGAAAATATAATTTAAAATGGCATATTATATAGAAACCCGTTTCCGTAACTACCGTAACCAAAACTCTGCAAACTAACTGAAATTCCTTTTCTTTTTCTAAATCTTTAATGTAGCCAGTTTTGGAAGAAATCTAACCAATTCACAGAAATACATTGTCTAAAAAGAATGGTTATGCAGATTTTTAGAGCCAAGCTTTAAATTGGAAAGACTGTCGAGACTAACATGTACAATGAAACAAATTTATGAATACAAAAATGGGAAATATTGTGCATAACAGTCATCATTTCACATGCAAAATTCTTAATTCTGAAGTCTTTATATTGGAAATCAGGCAATGTTAAACATCACTTCTTTAAGCAAGCTCTAGCCCAGAAGCCCCAGAAGCACTAAGTGTAAGCTGATATTATGCCATAGAAGGATTCATGGATTCATTGACCAATTAAAACAACAGGTTAGCTATTCCTTACTTATACATTGTTAGCAATTCAGGCATTGGCTTTTTTCAAGACAGTTTGAAAGAGATAAACAAAATAATAACATAATTTGAACTTTACACATGCTAGAAGAAAGCATGACATTATGAAAAGGTCCTGTCTATTAAAACAGCAAAACAACTATCTGACAAAAGACAGACATTATGACGATTATTTAGTAGTATGTGTATAACAACATTTAACATAATGTCATGTCTTGACAAAACAAAGACGTTATGACAAATACAATGTATAGAAATGTCTTATCTGACAAAACAAGGATGTTATGACAAATTCAATATATAGAAATGTCATATCTGACAAAACAAGGACGTTATGACAAATACAATGTATAGAAACGTCTTATCTGACAAAACAAGGACGTTATGACAAATACAATGTATAGAAATGTCATATCTGACAAAACAAGGACGTTATGACAAATACAATGTATAGAAATGTCATATCTGACAAAACAAGGACGTTATGACAAATACAATGTATAGAAATGTCATATCTGACAAAACAAGGACGCTATGACAAATACAATGTATAGAAATGTCATATCTGACAAAACAAGGACGTTATGACAAATACAATGTATAGAAATGTCATATCTGACAAAACAAGGATGTTATGACAAATACAATGTATAGAAATGTCTTATCTGACAAAACAAGGACGCTATGACAAATACAATGTATGGAAATGTCATATCTGACAAAACAAGGACGCTATGACAAATACAATGTATAGAAATGTCATATCTGACAAAACAAGGATATTATGACAAATACAATGTATCGAAATGTCATATCTGACAAAACAAGGACGATATGACAAATACAATGTATCGAAATGTCATATCTGACAAAACAAGGACGTTATGACAAATAGGAAAAGAGGCCCAGGGGCTTTAATAGCTCACTTGGTATATTATTTCCCAGGGGAGGGGCACATCCTCCATTTATACAAAATAAATTCCCTTTGCCCAAAGATGCTTTAGCACAAGTTTGGTTAAAATCCCCTTAATGGTAGAAAAAAGAGAAGGACCTTTAATGTTTTCCTCTATTTCCCCTAAAGGGCCCCCCACCCCACCCATCTGCCCCAAAGAAGGGCCCCACACACCACAGTTGATACAAAATTAATTCTATTGTCCCTAAGCATGCTTCAGATTGCATTTTGTTTAAACCCCTTCACTTGTACAATAGGAGAATTTTTCCTGTATTTCCCCTATTAGGTCCCATCCCTTTGCCCCTAAGGTAGGCCACACCCTCCGTTTATATAAACTTGAGGTTCCTTTGTCCAAATATGTTCTAGAACAAATTTGGTCAAAATCCTTCTATTGGTTGAGAAGAACAAGATTTTCGAAGATTTATCTATTTCCCCCCTACCCTCTGCCCCCAGGGGGGTCATACCCTCCGTTTATACAGAATTGAGAACCCCTTGGCCAATGATGCTCCAGACCTTATTTGGTCAAAAGCTTCCGAGCTGTTAAGGACAAGTAGCGAAAAATAGACGTACAACGGACGCTGCGCCACAGCATAAGCTCACTTGGCCCTTTGGGCCAGGTCAGCTAATGAACAGAAATGTCATGTCTGACAAAACAAGGACGTTATGACAAATAAAATAAACAGAAATGTCATGTCTGACAAAAGAGAGACATTACAACAATTTTTGAAATATCCTGACAATTTTGTGTAACCCTAGTTACCGAGGTGTCAGCTCTGACATAATAAGGACATAATGACAGTAAAGTTACCGAGGTGTCATGTCTTGGACATAGAGGAATCTGCAGCTTTATACTTCTTCTTAACCTGCAGGCAAAAATATAAGAGCACATATATATATATATATATATGAATAATTCTCATGCTTTTCTTTCCTGTTAAGTACGAGGGTGCACATGTCTTTAAAATTGGGAAATTTTGGATACAGCTAAATTTATTCATGCAAAGGTGCCCTGTACCAACCAACGTACAACTAACCATGTAAAATAATCATCATTATTGCCTGTTTTGTTAAGCAATTTGAACAACTCCAGTCAAAAAAGAATGTTCAGTTTCGGTATTTCCTTTTAAAAGCTAAACAACTCAAAATTTACTGATGTCCAAATGTCCCAATGTTCTCAATGGATAACTTTGATAAAGCAAAAAGGAGTCACAGCACTCTTGGTTGTGTGTGTTAGTATTCAGTCACAATATATATATATTATCAATACACATACTTGCAGTTGTTAACAATTGCATTTAGTTGGTCACTTTGTGCCAGTGAATGTGGTCGCAAGTTACCATCTTATATGCAACAGCACAAAGTCAAATTAACTTTGGTTGAAAATGTACATGTTGGCCAATGGGATACTTGCAGGGTTCCAGTTTACCGCCATATGGGGGTACATATATGACCTCTCAAAAACTCCCCAAAAATAGGCTTTTTGATCCTCAAAATGTAATAGCCTTGCTATATGCCTGAATTTACCCACAACTTTTATGTCCTACAAAAACACAAACTGTGCATATGAGTAATTTATTGAAATTTTTAAATACAATTAATTGACAAGAAATCTTACAATCTTGATGACTGAACACTTTCAAGAAGTCTTTCCTAAAAGGAGGACAAAAATGGTTGAGAAATGCCATACTAATGGTGATTTTACAGAAATGTAATTGATCCTATTACAGGTCCATTTTCTAGATATTGAATATAAACTTCACAGCATACAGTACTTGTACTAAAAGGGCCATTCCAATTTTGGAACATTTCAGTTAAGAGAGTCATATGTTGTAATATACAAATTTGTATTTAATATGTAAATAAGATGATCGACAAAATTGTAACTCAAATTGTTTCTTAATTTAGAACCCTATTTCAATAGCACTAGATGAAACATGTCTGATGGAGTGTAACAAAACTTGTAACATTAAAAAATCAATTTGAAGATATTTAAATGGATAAATTTAATTTGAATATGAAATTCTTGTCCTTTGGCTACACATTCCAGTCACAACCTGTGTCAAGATCTCAATAGGTCCAATGTGAGTCATAGAAGAATATTTCAAAACAGGTAAAAAATCTATTAATGTTTATGTATTATTCATCCTGTAACTCTAAACACAAGATATAACTTAGATATAGTTCAACCCGGTTTACTTCGGAAGAAAATTCCAATAATCTTCCTTACTAATTTAGTTCTGAGCTAGAAAATCCTAATGGTTTCCTCATAAAACTAGATTACCCAGAAAAATTACATTAATATTTCCTGGACCTGATAAGGTCAAGCTTACCAGGTTTCATTCTATATCAGATCATATTTCAGGAGGGCCACTAAAAGTGATATCTTTGATGGGTCAAACATCCTAGTATTTAATCAGATGATTTTGTCTCCTACATAATTGTTATTGTTCCAAATCTTTTAACAGCCAGATCATTCCAACATTTTTCCTGGTACAAACTAATTTAATTGATTGAGGTTTCATTGTGGATCACAGAAACAGAGCACCCTTAGGTACTGCCCAGGGTGACCTCGTAATAGTTTTAATGATAATTTCACACAAGGATGAAGAACACTTGCATTATTCATCACGTTTCTAGTAACCAAGATATTATCAAATTTCTGATATAATTTTCAAATTTCATATTACGTTAAATACACATAAAGACATTTATGAGCATTCAGGCCATCAATATAAAGTCATCATCAGATCTCCACAATGCAATTAACAAGAAGCTTTTCCAATGTTATCATTTCCGCGATGCATGAAATTTCAAACATTCTTATCAACAGTAATCTCATGCCAAAGTTCTTAAATTAACAAACAAAAATCAATCTTTCCATGCAGAATGCCAAAGCGCAGTGCTGATCAATAAGTGACATCGCTGTACTGTACATATATGCTGAGTTTTCTAGTGTCTCTATCCCACACATAACACCTACACAGAGACTGTCAATATCTAGTAACCCTATCTAATACCTAACCCCCAGACAAGTCAATATCTAGTAACCCTATCTGATACCTAACCCAGAGACGAGTCAATATCTAGTAAGTATCTCTATCCCACACATAACACCTACACAGAGATGGTCAATATCTAGTGTCTCTATCCCACACATAACACCCACACAGAGACTGTCAATATCTAGTATCGCTATCCCACACATAACACCTACACAGACACTGTCAATATCTAGTATCTCTATCCCACACATAACACCGACACAGTGACTGTCAATATCTAGTATCGCTATCCCACACATAACACCTACACAGACACTGTCAATATCTAGTATCTCTATCCCACAAATTACACCTACACAGAGACTGTCAATATCTAGTAACCCTATCTAATACCTAACCCAGAGATGAGTCAATATCTAGCATTCCTATCCCATACTAACCCCCAGACAGAGACAAGTCAATATCTAGTAACCCTATCTGATACCTAACCCAGAGACGAGTCAATATCTAGTATTCCTATCTCATACTAAACTCCCAGACAGAGACGAGTCAATATCTAGTATCCCTATCTCATACTAAACTCCCAGACAGAGACGAGTCAATATCTAGTATACCTATCCCATACTAAACCCCCAGACAGAGACAAGTCAATATCTAGTAACCCTATATAATACCTAACCCAGAGACGAGTCAATATCTAGCATTCCTATGACATATTAAACCCCAGACAGAGAAGAGTCAATATCTGGCCTTCTTTCACTTGATAGAACTGATAGACAAGACCAGCAGTTCTGTAGTATTGTTTTTCCATGCTAAACCTAGACAAAAATGGGCTGTTACACCTGGGTATTGTCTCTATCCCACACATAACACCTACTCAGAGACTGTGAATATCTAGTATCTCTATCCCACACATAACTCCTACACAGAGACTGTCAATATCTAGTATCTCTATCCCACGCATAACACCGACACAGTGACTGTCAATATCTAGTATCGCTATCCCACACATAACACCTACACAGACACTGTCAATATCTAGTATCTCTATCCCACAAATTACACCTACACAGAGACTGTCGATATCTAGTATCTCTATCCCACACATAACTCCTACACAGAGACTGTCAATATCTAGTAACCCTATCTAATACCTAACCCAGAGATGAGTCAATATCTAGCATTCCTATCCCATTCTAACCCCCAGACAGAGACGAGTCAATATCTAGCATTCCTATGACATATTAAACCCCAGACAGAGAAGAGTCAATATCTAGTAACCCTATCTAATACCTAACCCCCAGACAAGTCAATATCTAGTAACCCTATCTAATACCTAACCCAGAGATGAGTCAATATCTAGTATTTCTATCCCATACTAAACCCCCAGACAGAGACGAGTCAATATCTAGTAACCCTATCTAATACCTAACCCATAGACGAGTCAATATCTAGTATTTCTATCCCATACTAAACCCCCAGACAGAGAAGAGTCAATATCTAGTAGCCCTATCTAATACCTAACCCAGAGACGAGTCAATATCTAGTAAGTATCTCTATCCCACACATAACACCTAGACAGTGACTGTCAATATCTAATATCTCTATCCCACACATAACACCTACACAGTGACTGTCAATATCTAGTATCTCTATCCCACAAATTACACCTACACAGAGACTGTCAATATCTATTGTCTCTATCCCACACATAACACCTACTCAGAGACTGTGAATATCTAGTATCTCTATCCCACACATAACTCCTACACAGAGACTGTCAATATCTAGTATCTCTATCCCACGCATAACACCTACACAGAGACTGTCAATATCTAGTTTCTCTATCCCACACATAACACCTACACAAAGACTGACAATATCTAGTGTCTCTATCCCACACATAACACCCACACAGAGACTGTCAATATCTAGTATCGCTATCCCACACATAACACCTACACAGACACTGTCAATATCTAGTATCTCTATCCCACACATAACACCTAGACAGTGACTGTCAATATCTAGTATCTCTAGCCCACCCATAACACCTACACAGTGACTGTCAATATCTAGTATAACTATCACACACATAACACCTACACAGAGACTGTTAATATCTAGTGTCTCTATCCCACACATAACGCCTACACAGAGACTGTCAATATCTAGTAACCCTATCTAATACCTAACCCAGAGACGAGTCAATATCTGGAACCCTATCCAATACCTAAGACAGAGACGAGTCAATATCTAGTAACCCTATCTAATACCTAACCCAGAGACGAGTCAATATCTAGTATTTCTATCCCATACTAAACCCCCAGACAGAGAAGAGTCAATATCTAGTAACCCTATCTAATACCTAACCCAGAGACGAGTCCATATCTAGCATTCCTATCCTATACTAAACCCCCAGACAGAGACGAGTCAATATCTAGCATTCCTATCTCATACTAACCCCCAGACAGAGACGAGTCAATATCTAGTAATCCTATCTAATACCTAACCCAGAGACGAGTCAATATCTAGTAACCCTATCTAATACCTAACCCAACACATAACACCTACACAGAGACTGACAATATCTAGTATCTCTATCCCACACATAACACCAAAACAGAGACTGTCAATATCTAGTAACCCTATCCCATACTAAACTCCCAGACAGAGACAAGTCAATATCTAGTAACCCTATCTAATACCTAACCCCCAGACAGAGACAAGTCAATATCTAGTATCCCTATCTCATACTAAACTCCCAGACAGAAACGAGTCAATATCTAGTATTCCTATTTCATACTTAAACCCTAAACAGAGACGAGTCAATATCTAGTAACCCTATATAATACCTAACCCAGAGACAAGTCAATATCTAGTATTCCTATCCCATACTAAACCCCCAGACAGAGACGAGTCAATATCTAGTAACCATATCTAATAACTAACCCAGAGACATGTCAATATCTAGTATTCCTATCTCATACTTAAACCCCAGACTAGAGACGAGTCAATATCTAGTAACCCTATCTAATACCTAACCCAGAGACGAGTCAATATCTAGTATTCCTATCCCATACTAAACCCTAGACTAGAGACGAGTTAATATCTAGTATCCCTATGACATACTAAACCCCAGACAGAGAAGAGTCAATATCTGGCCTTCTTTCACTTGATAGAACTGATAGACAAGACCAGCAGTTCTGTAGTATTGTTTTTCCATGCTAAACCTAGACAAAAATGGGCTGTTACACCTGGGACACAACTTCCAACCTACTCTTACATTAATGACTAAGCCTACTTGCATAATTGAATGTGTGATGCGTCTTGTGTAAATAATGCCGAAATGTTGAATTGAGCTCAATTCCATTTGATAGTGTTCTCGGTAATATATGTATTATTAAAATGATATAAAAATAATATGTAGCTTGGCTGTAAACAGCTGCTCAAAGAAAGTGTTTTGATGTATTAACGCTTCAAACATTTTTTTTACAACGTGACGGCTTTGCAAAAATAGAAGAAATGCTTTACACTTTTGAAATATTGACTGTGCTACTGGAATGATTTGTAAAGTCACTGTCACAGGACCATTGTCCTTTTTGTTTTGATACTGACCCCTGATCCCTCAATAGATGAGAGTTTATGTTGGTGATGTTGTAGCTATAAACACACTAGAGAGGTATGTTACAATAATTACCATGATAAACCACTATTTTACAGTGGCAGCAATAGCCTCAGTCATTATGAGTCATATGTTTACCAGATCATCAAAGCGTTTGAAATTCATAATGGTAGGCCAGTGTTACAAAAGATCAAAATACACTGACTGACATTGAAGAGAAATAAGGTGTTTATCTCTCATTTTGATGATATGCATTTATGATTCCTGGATAGTAAAATAAGTAAAGTGTAGGATTGGAAGTGGATAGGTTCCGAGTTTGACTGTTGTTATTTTTTTTATTTTTTTGTTTTGTTTTCTTTTATTTTCAAAATTCTAAACTAAAAACATGTTTGATTCTGTGAAACGATGAAATGCATTACAGATATGATTTATACGAAATACTTCTGTATAAAATGACTTAAATATTTCATACTACATGTAGTGTAAATGGTAATAACATATTTCAACTAGATGTACTCATTACTTAAACAGATCAGACATACAGTGCTATTACGGGGGAAAATAGCTTCTCTGTATACCAGGCTATGTACACAGATAAACCCTGTTCACATTTGATCCCTTTTCATTTCATGTGTTTATAATGGACAAAACAGGATAGCAAGCTGAAGCAATAATTAGCAAAATGGCATCTGTTTATTTTGCTCAAATCAACCAGATAGACAGGATTAATAAATGACACTAGCCTATATATACTGTCACATAAAATATCCTCTTGGATATTTATCACAGAAAACAAGGTTGGCGTACCATTTATAACAGCAGGCAATAAGCAGTGTTTGTATTAAAAAAGTGGTAATATTATGTAAACAAACCAAAATGTTTAACCATGTGATAGGTGTAACTCCTGTCAATACCTTTCATGTGTATATACTCACCTTGTGTTTTGGACACCATAGGGAGAAATTCTCTTCTTCTAAACTACATCCTGTTAAAAAGATCAACCAAACAGTTAATTGAAAATCCTTTCAAACTGACAATAGCCCTAGGGCTTACTGACAGTGATTTCTGAAACCCATTTTTTTTTTATGGTAACAAATGACATTGTGCTACAGATGTCACTTTGCTGTACTCGTTAACCCCGACCTCCCCACGGTACAGGTTTGACAATAGATTCTCTGGAATTTTTTTTTAAGGTTTTTTGAGCTTGACTTTGATCAGGACTGATAATCTATTTACAGAGAAACTGCCTAAAAAGACCATCGTAAACACACTATGACTTATCACAATAAGAACAAGTTAATTTCTCTATAATAAAACCTGTCCATTGAAATATACTTTCTGCTTTTTCTGTCCAACAATTTTGATTCCACATGTATCTATCCATGCTGTTCCCCAAAATATCATTTTAAAATCAAATAAAAGCTGCAGAAATGCATTACTTCTTGTATTTTGTTTAAAGATAAACAATATAATCATTTACTAAATTATGAAATTAATAAGCGAAATAGATTTAGCATACATGGATTCTATCTGTTAAATGAAATTAGAATAAACAACAGTATCAAGTTGATCATAATCTGTCTTTTCCCCCCAGTAATGATTAGAAACTTGCCTGTTTCGATAGCACAATAGAAGTGGTATTTTTGTGAGCAGCCCTTGTGTAGACAGCCCACCATAGCACCTGATTCCTTACACACTGAACACACCTGAAACAGGTCAAAAGACGTGTTACATACAGAACACCCCTGTAAAAGGAACAGGACATCTTACACATACAAAGCACAAGATTGTGATTCAAATACAAGGGTTGGCTGCTGAAAGGGAATTGAGAAAATTAGAGGATATTTAGCAAAGATATTACACAGAAACAATAGACCAACCAAAATGCAGCAATCTGTTTCAATACCCCGATATACATGTACACAGGATTTTTAAAATATCATGATATTGACCTCAGTCTTACTCAAATATGTTTGCTGGCCAGGTTTCCTGAAAATTGAATGATATTTAAGGAAACTACTGCAACGAAAAAGACTTACCAATCTCATTGAATATGCATATTATATTTGAGGTGCGAACTTGACCTCTGATTTCTGCTCCTTAAACATGTCTGCTGACCAACTTTCATGAAAATCAGATGATGCTTTTGGACCTTGTCACATGGAAATTGTCAACTAATTTGAATCAGGTTCTTTTACTGATGCATCAGAATACTTTTTAAATGGATTCATGGAACACTGCATTTATGAAATTACTGATCATCAATAACCTCTAACTTTAAATAGCCCTAGAGACCACTTCAATCTGTACTTTCAAAGTTCTGGCAATAAAGTTTTAGAAAATATCACTTACTTGTATGAAAGAAGAGAATCACTGACCTTAACTACTGCACTCATCGTTTTTATTTCATATTTTGTTGTTTTCAAATAGTCTGACCCATGTGACATTGAAATAAGGTCACGGTATTTCATTTGAACAAACATAAGTCTTCCAAGTTCAACCCAAGACCAGATAATTCCAGGCCTTGTCGATCTTAGCAGTTGTTTGAAGTTTGACCTCTCTGAAAGTAGGTCAGGGCTAAATTTATTTGAACAAATCTGAAAAATCCTCCAAGTAACAACCTAAATAAAAAAAAAATCTGACTGTCTAAAAATAAATGAAAAGATGACAGGGATGACGCTGCATCACTATGCCTTGGGAAAGAAGAAAGGAAATTTTCTTCTGTTGTGTGTACATGAATTTAGATTGGTAAGAAAACTCAGCCAACAGATCTGATTTCTTGAGAAGTTGAAAACACTGTATACCAGATTTAACTTGAATCAAAGGCTTCATATACCCCTGCAACCCACATATATTTTTATGAAATAACAAGAATTTGAAGGTTGTGGCAAAATTATTTTGTTATGCAACACACAGCTTGACCTTGATGTACATCCATTCCATGTATGAATCATTACATAAGTTGGGCGGTCATATACCTTATTTTAGCATTTTAGATATAAAGTCAAAGGTCAAAGTGAGGTCACAGTGTTTCAATTTTGAAACATGAAAAAGTGCCATGTCATGGTGTATCTACATGTACTTACTAATTAAGTTGTTCCTATATGACACAGTGACTGAAACATGTTCCAGAAACCTATATTTCTTCATCAGAGACCAATGATCAGGCCGTAATGACCATCTGACAATCATATGTACCTAGCTACGTACCAAGTCTTACATCCATACATGAAACATGTCTTGATACACTCAAGAAGTGCTTATATCTCCATCTGATAATAAAGGTAAAATAGAGGTCAAGATGACCGTGTTTTGGTACAGGACACAGCACCTTCTCAATATGTACGTGTACCTACAAACTAAATATGATGTTCATATAATAAGTGTAACAAAAGAATGCTCCCAAAATTGGAACAGATGGACTGATCCACAAGGCTAAAACTAGATTCAGTTTAAGCCTAGATTCAGTATAAAGCCAGGGAAATTTATTGATCAGTATCCTCGGCCTTCAGCCTACACTCAAGATATTCATTCATGTTTTAGGTTTAGCAGAGACAAGTTTGTCTTAGAAAAGAGCGCTTAACCTGGATTTGTTTTGAGAAAAAAAATCTGCCCAACCTCGTAACGGCCTCTGATCAGAAACCAATCTATCATTAGGATGATATTTTCCTGTGTACATATATACTTTATAGCCTAAGCCAGGAACTGAACAAAGAATATTCCTCCCTCTAGTACGAGTCACTAACAGTTTCTGATCTTACACTACTTACCATAGACGATGCTATCTGTGTAGCCTCCTCTAAGCCATACACTTTCTGTCCTATGAGTAATACCCCATCAGCCCAAGCAAGACAATCCTCGTGGACCCACACTTCCCTTGGTACCCTCAAGGATCCACTGTCCGACTTCTTGCACTTTGACCTCTTTGATTTATCAGCACCATCACAGAATGTATTGTCCTCAGACTTTCGTTTTTTAGATTTTGTCCCACTACCATCCTGCATAGGACCCTCCTGCACTTTGGGCAATGGTAGATTGCCCTCCGTGTAGTAAGGTCCAAACAGATCTCCCAGGAATTTATAACTACTGTGTTTCCTACACAAAGCACAAACCCAGGTCGTCTCGTCCATCACCGAACTGCCAGGGACCAGAACCGACTTCTCCGTTGGGAGCCGTGATATATGCACTGTCGAAACTGCCACTGCAGTAGATCGTTTCTTATGCTTGCTCGATTTCGAGTCTACTTGCATATCACTTTCGAGTTGATTTACAACTGAACACTTACTTGGGTTATCTTGCGGGCCCTCCAACCGAATAAAGGGACCCACCGTATTTTCTCTGTTCGCCGTTGGCTTTTTCTTGTGTTTCTTTTTCATTAAGGCCAATGTTCTTTTAAGTTGGACATCCTCAATGTCATCCTCATTTTGATATCCTCCTTTAGATTTAGATTTTTCTAACTTTTTAAGTTTCCCCTTACTACTTCTGGACCCTTGGGGTCTTCCACTACGTTTTTTAGTGGTGGAAGATTTATTAGGAAACACATCACTGTTTTTCTCAGAGTGCTCTTTTTTGACAGTAAAGCTTGTTTTTGGGCTCTCCTTTTTAACACTACAGTTTGTTTTGCTGTCGTGCTCTTGAATATTTTCTGTAAGCTTTTCTATTTTTATCATTGGAGAATTATGAGGATTAGAGGAGAGTCCAGAAGAGCAGGAGGGTGTGGAAGAGACCACACGTGCGGTATTAGATACAGCAGTACTTTCCTTTGTACAATTAACACTTAACTGTGTAATTCTTTTGTCACTGTCCTCTGACAATTCCTCATCCGAACCTAACACCACAACCGGTTTGACAGTTTTATTTTTCTCGGAAGGATTCCCGCTTGGTTTACGTGTCTTTTTACTCTTTACCTCCACCTCTATTTCCTCATCAGAATCGAGAATATAGTCTCCTCCGTAATACATATCTCCTGCATACTTCAACGGGGACATTCTGGGACGTCTTTTTCTCTTAGATGTTTGCATCTCTGAACTACTACTTTCAGTTGTTGCAGGACTGTTCTTAATAGCTGTTTTCTTTTTCATATTGTTTTGAGAAAATGTCTTTACACTGTCTGAAGGTCTTTTACTATTATTCTTTTTAATACTGGCCAAATTTAAGACATGACCCGCATCATCGTCATCAGAAACCATATCAACAAAGTCTTCCATTAGTTTGCGCGATTTTTCCTTTCGTGACTGTTTGAAGAGGTTGTCCATGACAGGGATGTGTTTGCTCTCATTAAATGTGCCAGGATTTTCTGGCTTCAACTTGTCAGATGGTGGTGGTTTTGATAAACCGTCTTTAGCTGGAAAGTCTTTGGACTTGCCGACCCCATCAATCTCGTCACTCGACACGCCTGTGTTATGGCATTTCAAGTGGGTATTACCAGTCTTTGTGTCAGTGATACTGTGACCAAAATCTGGTTCAATCTTACACGCATCATCTTCCTCCTCCTCAGAGCTCTCCTCTAACGATAAAATGTCTGGACTTTGAATCCCATTCAGTATACTATTTCCCGTGATTTTACTATAAGTTACTTTAGTGTCTTTTCTTACCATGAGTATGCCCCCGTCATTGCTGTCAGAATCACTGTAATTGTTGTAGTAGGCAGCGTTATTGGCCAAACGAGCAGGCACCTCTCGTAAAGACATTGTCCGCTCCGGCTGCGTTCTCCTGGAATTAAGTCTGTTTTTGGACAGATTCTCACTTTTATCCCTATTCAAAGCAACACCATTCCCAAAAGAGGAAATGAGGTCAGTCTTGGAATCTACGTCCTCAGACGTTTCTTCAGGTGTGTTATTCTCAACGTTATTCAAATCCTCCACTTTTAATTCATTTTCAGCAGGCTCCGAAGAAGCTGATTCAACACTTGCATTCTCACTCGTCTCAAGTTTATCACAGATGCGTCCACATTTCTCCAGCTTGATGCACATGTCTTCTCCAGTATCATTTGTTTGTCTGTTTAGTTTGATTTTTGTGTGATTGGGAAGTTTCAATTTGTCCATGATTTTGTCACTGCCATTTAGAACACAATCATCGGAATAGACAAGCTTAACATCACAGGTGAGTGATCGAGCTCTGCTAAGGACACTGTTTGGTGATCGCCTGTGTTTTAGGAGGTGCTCACCAATTTCCTGGCTTTTCATCTCCTCAAGAACTTCATCGGTCAGGGCACTTTTCTGTGACATAAAGGACGAGGTCAAATCCGCCTGAATGTTCCCATTGATTATAGCTTGCTGACAGGTCATGATCTTTACATGGCTGTTTACTTTCACAGTTTCTTCATCTTCTGAACACTCGCGTTTACCGATCATGTCTGAATTGGCAATGAGAGGAGGAGGGGAAATTGGTTGGTCACTAGGGAGATCTGAAGAAACAAAGCTGGCTTTATCACTATCTTTGGGAGCTTGCTCTTTGTCTTCAGGGGTCGGAGAGTCTCCTGAGCACTGACCTGCTTGATCACATCGTGGAGGTTTATTTTCATCAGTGGCTGTAGCAGAAATCTCATCTGCCTCATTGCAATGTTTGCCATCAACACACCGACTGGACTGACTTGAACCCAATGCTGACCCACACCTACTCTCACTCTGGGAACTGTCTTGACCTCCTGAACCCTGTGAGTCAGCATTGGTATCCAAGTTTTTTGAGTTGTCATGTGATTGTGGTGATGGAAGACATGCATCGTTAACTACACTTTTGGGGTCAATCACCTGTTTCTCTGGCAGCATGCACAACTTCTGTAGCGACAAGAGTGGATTATTGCCTCCCGTGACAGGGCCTTGGTCCCTGGGATCCTGGGAGCCATCGCTAATGTACTCCCTTGTATGGTGGGGGCTGGTGTAAGGATCCTGCTGAGGTGGACTGTGAATGGAAGATTTAGACTGCGGCGTGAAAGGAGAGCTGATCTGACTAGCAGGTGGACTGATCGGGTTTGTTTTTGGAGAGTAACAGCTGAGGTTCTTCTGTTGTGTTGGTGACTGTCCTGCGTATGGTAATAAGTTCTGATTGGAAACAGATACATGCAGCTGCTGGTTTACAGGAGTAGGAGAACATATACTTCGCCCAGCATTCATAGGAGACTGCATGGCACATGGTGACTTGAGGCCCCCAATTGGGGATTGTGGTGGTACAGGAGACTTGACGCTGCCCCCTGCACTCCCTGGGTGTTGGGTTGGACTCTGTATGGAACGCGGACTGGAGTTAGGCAGGCTTTGGTTACTGTGATGAGAGGCAGGGCTGTGGATGTAGCCAGGGCTAGGACTGATGGGTGAGGTCCTGGCGGGGTGCGAATGATGAGGGGAAGAGCTGGGATACATGAACTGATGCCCCCCTTGTGGCCCCTGGAGCTGCTGTTGTTGCTGGTGAGTGGGACTGTTTCCCTGGTTAGGCATAACATAGTGAGGGGAGTTGGGCACATGATATGGCGCATGGCGATTTTTAGACAATGGAACTTGCACTGTCTGATTAGGTTGATAGGCTGCCGTCATTTGAAGGATGGAATTAGCCACATCCTGTGGACTTTGTACCTGGCCACCACTGTGCATCATGTGGGAAGGAACATGGCCACTTTGTTGTGGCTGTGCTTGCTGTTGATGATTCTGCTGCTGTTGCTGCTGCTGTTGTTGCTGTTGTTGTTGTTGTTGCTGCTGTTGCTGTTGTTGCTGTTGTTGTTGTTGTTGTTGTTGTTGTTGGCGTCCTGAGTGTGGCATACTACCTGATCCGTAGTTACGACCACTCGTCATAGGTCCGTATCCACTGGACATCTGACCGTACTGACCAGGGCCATAGGGTCCCTGGCTGACTGACCCTGATCCTGGTAGTCCCCCATAGGACTGAGCCATGTAGTGTTGGGCAGTCTGGCTGTGTCCTCGACTGTACATACCATCTGTATACTGCCCATGCATGCTAGGAACCCTTTGACCCCTGTTGTCATAGTTTGCGGCCCCTTGGTTCTGGTAGTTGGCCATGTTCTGTTGTGGCATTGTTGGCTGAAAAAGAAAAGAAAACAAAATTAAATTTGAACATCAGATTATTTGTGTTTTTAGAAAAGATTGTGACATTTTAAATAGAAATGTTAAGTCAACTTTATAAAAGTTCCAGGATTATACAGGGTTTAATTTATACAGAATACACCGTATACCAAATCATTATCTTACATTTGATGGTGAAGGACCTAATGAAAGATCTAATCTGATGTTACTTTATTGATTTACCTAACATGCATCCCAATGGTAGAAACACAGGTGATCGTGTCACCAAGGTAACCAGAAGAAGACAATATCAGTGATGTCATAATCTTCAGGACATAAACTTTTACCTTATAGTTTTGTTTAAGTTGAAAACATACGATTCTTTTCATACACATTGGTGGGATTAGCAGATGTTAAGCCACAACATCAGCTTACTTAGATTGCTCTTTGGAATGTGATCGGAGAATACAAATTTTAAAGGGATTTCATTTCATGGTCAAATGATGCTATTTAATTGATAATTACATTCCAATTCCTTGTAATTTAATTTCATACTGTCAGTGATTTTTAAGGTCAATTTGCAGCCTTATAAAGGTCCCTTCCCCTGAATATTTTCTGTGCCCCCACCCCCCAAAAGAATCAATGCAAAAATTCCACATTGTATCGAAAACATATTCTCAGCTGACTCATGCATTTTCAAAAATCTATTTATCCAAAATAAATTTAACAAAAAAAGAATATATTTAAGCTACTGTGGTGATATTTGCCTTCCACTCTATACTGAAGACTAATCCTGTTATTAATTGACTCAAAATTTTCCAGGAACAGAAATGTATACAATGCATCGTTCTGATAATTAACATTCAAAACCGAGACGATTTGAAGGCACAAAGTTCCAATATTATATCTGTACATTCCAATTGATTCACAGACCGGTGCCTGATGACTGACATGTATGACGAGTCATGTGTTTCTGTCTGCGATGATGTAATCACGTAAGCATCCTGGCTAAACTCGGCTAAATCAATCCATGTTTTCAAGCTAATTCTGACATTTTAGGAATTAATTATTCAGCTGCCTTTCCTTTATGCAACCTACGTTAGACTACTGGACAGTTAGCAGACAAATGCCTTATTTGTTCCATTCATAAGAGTGCTTTAACGCTGGTATATAGAGACATGTACACTGTCCTGCCAGAGTGTGCCAGTCCTGTTATGTGTTAGCTATATAGGCTGTCAGTGATCTCAGACTATTTCCCAGGATCACTCTCTACACTGTACAGTTGTTCCTAGCCATTACTGGTCGGTGGTGGTCTGCTCTAATCTTCTCAAAGGACAATCTTTTTATTTGGTTAGACTTCCACATTACAGATTATCACAAATCTCAGTTAAATGCTGGGACGTCTCATTATCAAAGACCTTGATCAGGACATGACATGACCTTGAAATTCAATTACCAAAAAGAACCTGTGAAGACAGCATGTATACCTATTTGTTAAAAATTATAATATCCTTCATACTTCCTTTCAAAATGAACCTGTCTTATTCAGCTTGTTATTTCCTGAAGGTAAAAATCTGCAGTAAAATAATTCTATCCTTTACACATGAAAACAATTTTTTGGTACTTTTACAACATAATACTTTTAAGGAGAAATCATTTTGTTCACTTGCATTTCATTTTATATATATTTTCTGTTAAAATATTCAAGATGTTTGAACATACAGAAACCTTCAGCTTGTCAGATAGCAAAACGTTTTAATATCTCTATAATTATATTGCAGTGAACTATTTGTTGATCAAGCCTGTCAAACATTACATGTGTATTGTGAATAATCATACGTCAACCACACCACACCCTGGTTTGTTCTCAATCGATGGACGTTTAAGACATCAAACAGATTCTCCCCCGACACGTCACACGTGGCAAGCTAACAAATCATTTTCTTTATGTTGTAAAACTGGCTTTAAACCCAATCAATATGTAGACCTGGATTTTGGAGCAACAGATATACAACAGCCTAACAAATGTTCGTCAGCTAAACCTGTCCTGGTTTTACAAAATCATGTACACATCATGTCATATTGCAGTTTCAGTTCTATGGTAATTGTTTGTTGTATAACTGGAATGTTAGGAAGCGTACTCTGTTTATCTTTGTTTGTGTGTTTAGGGTTAACATCCTTGTTTTGTCCGCTGAGGTCATATAATATAAAGACAGCTTCCTACTCGACACTATTGAAAGGAAAGAGTAGGGAAATGAATACAGAGAGAGTTACAGATCCCTAGTATTGCAAAAGAGCAGCAAATACATTTTATTTTGTTTTTTTCAATGTTCCTGAAGACATATTTGAACTCTTCCAATTCAAAGGTTAAAATAATTCATTATGGAATTTCAGGGGTGAAAGAGTTCAGATATAAAAGTATTCTCCCATACTTGCCTGTGTAAGACAGCAATTGACTTGTGAAACGATAAACCTGTCTTTCACAAGGAAAAGACAGCCTCAGCCTAGACGCTGAGTGACGTCACAACAGTATGACGTCACTTAGACTGTTAAATTGATGAATGGAATTTTTGCCGCCAGATAAGTTAGCCAAATGACATTGGTGTTTGAAAATATTCTATTGTGATGACCGTTGTTCTTTTTTATTAATTTTATACTTATTTTAAGATATATTAACTGATATATTACAGTTGATGGATTATAAAATAAAATATTGTTAACATTGTGCTTTAAATAGACTTCTGATTTTATGTTCGAAGGGCACAGAGTATTGACACTGGCATGTTTATTTCGAGTATGGGAGAACAAGAATCAAACATGGGTATAGTATGTGGACCGGGAAATCTCAACCCTTGTGTAAAGCCTTGTGCTAGACAGACAAACTCCTACCCTCAGGTTGCTATTTCCCTGTCCACTGACCACACCCATGTAAGATTCTATTATTCTCTGAACATGCAGGGGTGAGTGTACTCTTAAGCAGACCATGTTTATCAAAAAAACTGGTATAAATCAGACTGTTCGTATACTTTTCAAAGTATGTTGAATGTTTGTCAATGGTAAACCTGTGTATTCTAACTGAAATGAATGTAAACAACCAAATTCAGTTGAGCCAAGTTTCAATGCATGAAGTAAGCCAGCAACAACCTGCATACTTTGACATACTTGTTAAAATTAAATTCTATGCAGATAAATTATTTTTAATATCTTTTTAAGGGCAGACGGGTTGGAAATTTCAGTGTAACTTGATCATATCCTGTCACCTTGTATCATCAGGGACAGTAGTAACATGTCCCTGGAACTATCATCTCGTACAATACACCAGGATATAATTGGTCTCAGCTACAAACTAGGGCTAGAAATAGCTTCACACTATTTCCTTCATCTCCTGGGCAGCTAGTGAAATGTGATAGTTCATTAGGATAGCCTATCATCGATCAGACAGTAAAATCCTTTCTAAAAGAACATATGCGTTCCTTTATGGGTATATTCTTAAAATATCAAACAAGAGGCCCATGTGCCTTTAACGGTCACCTGAGTTATGTAACAAGAGATCTCAGAGGGATCTTGGCGCCCACCATTTTACCATCTTCATTAGTTCTTTGTCAGTTCAATCTTTTCTCTTTTCCTCTATTGTCAGTTTGATCTTTTCTCTTTTCCTCTAATCTGTTTGATCAAGTCATGTTAGCAGTAAATGCACCTTGAGATAACTTTTGATCTAAACTTAAAACTGATGTGTATGAGAGCCAATCTTCGAAGTGAGTTTGTCATTTCACATATCTATTAGTACAGTACTTAGTGTGAAAGAAATAGAATTGATCACTGTAATATGAGAAAGATCTGTTAAGTTCTTCCTTTAGCCATTTTGTTTTTATGATCAGTCTCAAAATATAACATGCACAACATGGGATCAAGGGGAACCTACATATCAAATTTGAGAAAGATCGCTCAATTGTTCCTGAGAAATAGTACTAACAAACCTTCAATGTCAAAAATCGAAGATGGCTGTCAGTAGGCCATTTTGTTTAACTGATCAGTTTCAAAGGTAAACATGAACAATAAAGGATAGTGGGGAACCTACATTGGCTGGCCCAAAAAAATATTTTGGGCGAGTAAAATATTTGAAGCGCTGGCCCAATAATTTAAATTACATATAACATGATAATGTTTGTAATATGTAAAACAGAATAAAACATTATATTTTTAAATCTTCAACCCTAGTTAAAACCTGACATGTTTCTCAAAGAAATACACAAAACTTGCACCTCGAAGAGGACACCCTAGTCGTATTTATATAGAAAATCTAAAAAAAAATCATCACATATTCTAAATCACAGACAGTAATGTACTGCCCCCCAGTTAATGTGAAAGGGACTATAATTTCTTTTATCCAAAATTTTTTCGACAGTCACCCAAACTACTTTAGTCGCGCCAGTGACTACCTCACTTTTGACAACTTTTGGTCGCTCCAGCAAGACTTTAATCACCATTTGCGTGCAGGAGACCATCCATTTCAGGCACTGCTGCACAACAACTTGAGAAAGATCCCTCTAGTACTTCCCGAGAAATAGCGATAACAAACTTTCACTACAAAAATCCAAGATGGCTGCCTGTCGGCCATGTTGTTTATCTGATCAGTCTCAAAAGTTGCCCTGCACAGCTAAGGACCAAGGGGAACCTACATATAAAATTTAAGAAAGATCCCTCGGTAGTTCCAGAGAAATAGCGATAACAAACTTTCACTATCAAAATCCAAGATGGCTGCCTGGCTCAAAAAATGCCCTGCACAGCTAAGGACCAAGGGGAATCTACATATAAAATTTGAGAAAGATCCCTTTGGTACTTCTTGAGGAATACCGATAACAAGAATTGTTTAAGGACGGACCACGGACCACGGACAGACCACCGACGGATCACAGATGCAGAGTGATTTGAATAGCCCACCATCAGATGATGTTATCAATGTTGCCAAATGAAAAAGAAATCATTTTGAAACTAAGGTAACTTGAACTGCATGTAAT